TGATTGTCTTTTGCTCTCCCTGAGGCATCTACGTGCCTCAGCTCGAGCCTTTAAATAATTGATCTTGTTTTCTATGGTGGTGTTGTTGACGGCTTTTCGATACGCTGCCTTCTTTTTCTTTACTGCGTCCTCACATTCCCAAGAGAACCAGATCTTGTTCCTCCGGGGTTTTGTTTTTGTTTTTGGTATGTGTTTGTGGCATATTTCTAAAAGCTTTCCATGGAATTTATTGTAGTTGTGGTCGAAATTGGGATTAAGAATCTGGGAACATTTATTGGCAAACCCGGCTGTCTGCTTTTTTAAAGTTGAAGTGTTCTGGGATCGGGTCGTTTTGGAGGCTATTGTTTTTTAGGAGAATTGGGAAATGGTCCGTACGGTCATCCAGCACAGACCACTCAAGATCTGGGGCTAGATCAGGGGTACAAAAGGTGAGGTCAAGGGATGAAGTGCCATAAGTGGCTCTGTTTCTGTAAGTTGGGGATTTATCATTTAAGAGACAGATGTTATTTTGAAATAAAAAGTTTTCTATTATTTTTCCTTTCTGGTCTATAGGTATTATTATTATGTCAATGTATAAGTGGGGCATTGAAAGCACCTAGCAAAATAAAGGGTTTTGGAAGCTGAGCCTTTAAGTCATTTAGTTGGGTTATTTTGAGGGGGTAATTTGGTGGGATATAAACAGAGCAGATCGTGATTGGTCTGTGCAGGGTGACCCGTACGGCAATAGGGTCTTTGGTAATTTTTGAATCCATGTGATGTGTGATGTTGGTTCAGCTCCGGGACTCCCCACCCGCCATCGAGCCCAACAAGAGAGCACATTGCTCGGATAGCCAGAGCTGTGCCAGGGTTACCCCGGAGTTATACTCTTTCCGAGAGTATGCAAGACCCTCCCGTCAAGATTGACCCAGGGTCTGAATGGGTTTCAGCTCCCAACCGATTGAGTGGCATGGGCCGTGCCACCCTCCAGTCTAAAAGGAAACCTGGGCCAAAGAGGTGTGTTGGTGAGGGACAGTCCGTAGACTGATCCAGGTGCCCGGTTCCCCTCCGCACGGGTCGCACCTCACGGTCGACAAGGCGCCCACTCTGTGGAATGGGTGACCTCTCTTTTTTGCTGCACATGAGGTCAGCGGTGGGGGAAAAGACAGAAGAAGAAAGAAAGAAGGAAGGAGAAGAGGAAGATACACCAAAGTAGGTGTCGCATCCGGGTCCCAGAGGGTTGGGGTCCGTGCGCGACACCTCGTTTTTGAAGGGATTGCACCTCCTGCAAACGAAGCAGTGGGTCTATTTATATCCCTCCGACCCACTGGGGGTAATTTGGGGTCTATTCTTTGCTGGACCGGACCTTCGGTCGATAGAACGGAAAGAAAGATAGATGAATAGAACACATAGCAAGAGCGGACAAAAGATGCCACCCCTACGTCAGAGAGCTAGTGACGTACGAGTGGCATCCCACCGGGGGGGGGGGGGGTTACACCCCTTGTTGATGGGACAGCCTATTTTTTTTTTATTCCCCGGTCAGCTCGGGGAAGGAAGAAAGAAGAAGGAAGAAAGACGATAGAAGACAGACGATACACCAAAGCAAGTGTCTCCCATGTGCACCTGAGCGTAGATGTCCATGGGCGACAAATCGCCAGTGAAGGGGTTGCACCTCCTGCTGGCGGAGCAGTGGGTCTATTTATATCCCCCCGACCCACTGGGGGTAGCGGTTGCTGGATAGTAGAATAATTATTTTACGGGAGGGCATGATGATGGAGGTTGATATAATGATATGAGTAAAGATTGTGGTAGTAGAGAATCTTTGATATGAGAGCAATGGAAGTTGAGGGGCATTGTGCGGTTGTCTTTGAGTAATAGTGTACATAAAGTAAGCACAATACAAATATCTTATGTCTACATTTTGTCAAGAACAAACTTTAAAAAACCCACCGAAGCAACAAATATAAACTTTTGGTGCGCTTTATCAAAAAAACTGTAACAAAACTTGAGTAACAGTAAAACACAGCAAGTAAAGCAAGCAATCATAGTTGAAACAATGCTCTGCGCGCAGATGTAAGTTGATGCAATTTTCCCATAAATAAATATTTTATGAAACCATAATTCTCAGCAAACAATGTACAAATGTACTATTGTTTGCAAACGAAAGGATTCGTTATACAGTTACAGACAATGTAACATGTGTCAAACTTGAGGCCCGCCGGCACCATCTAGCCAGGTGAACAATCAATAATATCCGGCCCGCGAGAGAATTTTAGACAGAAATCAAAGTCCATCCAGAGAATATCCATTAGGCCTACATAGAACCTAAGTTAAAAAAATAAAAGAATTAATTGCCAAAAAGGGGCCAAATATCCAGCTCTGACAAACTGGTAAAGAGCGATAATGCGTGCGTTTGCTGCAATTTTAACTTTTGTTCGTTTCAATTCATGAATCATATTATCATTGTTTGAAAAAAAAAGTTTCGTTTTCCACTACTGTATGTATTTTTATCCAATTCGACACGCAACTTCAGTTTTAAGTGTCATTTAATTTTGACTTTGCCCCCCCTGAGTAAACTGAGCTTGACACCCCCATTTTGGAAGAGAAGTTGAGAATTCAACCAATACGACTACTTTCAGGAATCACCCGACGATTTCTGTCTGCCGTGCGTATCGAGTATCAAGTAGACTTGATTTTATCTTATTTAGACCGGGCACAAAATGTGTGTAGAAAATGTATAGCAGTGACAGATTATTGCACCCCTTTCCACTGAGAGTCTATTAAAGAGGTGAGACCTCCAAATTTCAGGCACAATACCACTTCCTGCGCCGAGCAACATGGGTAGACTGCCTTGAAAAATCAAATACAGGGCGATCCAAAAACCCCCCACAAAACACTGTACAATTTCTTTTGTTAATATTTTCCTCCACACTGAAGTTTTGCGTTTTAAATTTGTTTGTACACAACCTCTGGGATTCGAAAGGAATTTGTCTGATTTCAGTTTAGATAAATCCACAGAATAGTTTTGCTCTACATAGCGCGTAAAAAACAACCTATTTTCAGCTATGTCCCGATTTTTGTAGCATGACGCACTAGTTTGCTTGACGCACTAGTTCACATCAGGCCTACCACAAAAAATCTCAACGATTGGTCTAACAGGCCAACAGAAGTTTGCAGATAGTTTTTCTCAAGTTTCCTTTGCCTGCTGAGATCATGATTAAGATAAGTAAAGAGCAAGGAGCTTTTTGTACATGTATTGAACATTTCCTCACCACCAAATCATTTCGTAAGTTTCGCACAAGGTACGAAATAATGTTAAATAAAGTGCCTTTCAGTAAGGCCTTCTTTGATGTCAAGGGTGGACATGGTCCATCAGTTAGGACCTGTAGAGAATCAGAACAAAAATTCTCAAACAAAACGACCACTTCAGGTCAAACACACATTGTTTGCATCCCGTTGAACGTCACAATGGTGCAAAATTCAGTAGATGGGCCCCATGAGACGTCTGTACGGTGTCTGCCTCAGTGACTTTCCTACATCTCAACGGTCCGCATTCTCAAGGCAGATATTCATCTACGACCGTACCATTTTCCCTTTCGCGAAGCTATCTGAGGATAGCAATGTGTTCATGATTCTACGATCGTCTTGGAAAGCGTGAACATTTCCCCTTTGACATTTGTGAGGCAGCGTGGAGGAATCAGGCACTCGTCAATTTTTGGCCATGCGGAGTTATTGGTGTCATCTTAAAGCCTGTTCATTTGTCTATCTTAAAGTGAAAAAAGTACCCTTCTATCTGTAATAGAGGTCGAAATATTTGTAATTGAGGTAAGTAGGTTTAAATTGATTTCAGAGGAAAAATAAGGGAGAAAATGACCGCCTAAGCTTGGTAGGGCCTATCTTTCAATGCGTCATTGAAAACTGAAAATGTAGGCCTACATGTTTTGCACCTTCAATCGACGTTTTTCGGGATAATCCACACAGAAATGTGTTTTTAAATGGACGTAAAAGCTGTTGATAGAAATTGCCAAACCGGTAGAGAAATGCCATAATATCTTTGATTTAATTCTTTTGACGAGAGCCTGATTCCACCACAGTGCCATACATTTGGTTCCTTGGCAAAGCCCATATATATTCACATTTCAGGTTATATGAACTACAAATACTGACTATTTGGGCAACCGCACCCCCACCCCCCTATTGTCTCTAGACACAGCTCCGTAAGAGTGTGTGGCTTTGAGTACTCATGGTTGGGTGGATTTTTGTGTTTGGCCATCACTGAACATTACGAAAGACTCATTAACATGTGTCGAGTCCAAAGGAAGACATATAAACCATTGGTTCTCGAAATTCCAGAATCAAAAAGAATATTTTTAAAACTCTGTAGGAGAAAAGAAATATTGTTTTAAGTATACAGGGATGTAAAGATTAGTTTTTAAAAATAAAAGGAAAGGAAAATACAAACCAATCGTTTAAAGACTTTCCTTACAAGATCTTTTAAACTTAAATAGGTGGTTTTTGTAAAAGCCGTTTCCATTTTCAAAAATAAGTTTCTTCTTAGTGAATTTTACGTCAAACAAATTCCTTTTGAATGAATTACATCTTTTTCAAATTACAACGTTCTAGTACAAATTTTGTGCGAGATATTTAGAAAAAAGGTAGTACAGTTTGGTTTTTTTGGATTACCCTGTACATATTATGTATGTCCAGTTGGGGACATTTCGAACCAAGGTCGTTCTCAGTGTAAGTTATCATGAGCTCCATATTTCCACCATTTTGACACGGAATATGGAACCCCTAAGATCCACATATTTACCCTTTTCTCTTCACAAGAACCATGATCCAATACACGAAGTATCATTTCCTGAGGTGAAAAATTGGAATATCAAATGATTACCCTGCGAACTGTAGACAACTATTGCTAATATAATTTTTAAGTTTCTCCCATACAATATCTTGACAAATTCAGTTCAAACACACGGTATTGCTGGAGCATAAAATAATTTTCAAGACAATATTCTACATCATTTGTTTTCTGAGCGACTCCTTTTGTTTATAAGAGTACTATATTTCATTGTTTTAAAAATATAAAGATCATCCACAGAATGTTATTGCTGTTTTCATGCAATTCTATACCATTCATACTTTGCAAAAGTACTATTTTTTAAAAGTTTAAAAAAAAGATAAATAGCACGGCTGCTCTCTTACTGCCTTACTGATCATATTCAAAAGTTTTTGTGTCTGTACCTGGTATGACCAGAACATGTTTTGTATGACACATTGTACATTTAAAAAATAAAGTAAAATATCCCCATAAAAAATCCATGAGATGTAGAAGCAAGCAAACTTTGAAAAACACTTTTAGGAAACTGCAGCAAAGGAAATATATGTCTACTACATTTAATTTGTACTATGCTGAGAGCCCACTCCTCAAAGTGCTGTGGGAGATCATATCAGAAAAGGTCGAAAGAAAATTCTACTTCATCTGGTGTGTCAACTTAAAAAAAAAATTGAAGGGTAGTATGCCATCATAATGAGTTGTTCATTTTTGCAGTATATGGTACGTCAACAAGGAAGAAGCCACATTTTGATGGACTACAATTACAATGATAGTAACTGCTTCACACCCCCACTGACACAGGTTAGATTATTTAGAGCTTTTTCTACTCCAGACAAATAAGAGACATTCATAATCAAGCAAATTAAACTGTGAAACAGCAAAGACTTGAACACTTTGCCAACAATAAGTTCAGACTAGACCTAGTAATGCTGAGAATGAGAACCAGAAGGAATTAATCAACCACCACAGAACGCCCATCAACCACCTGCTTGTGAACCCATTTTGATTTTAAATTAAACAACACATGGTAAACGGCGAATTATGCTTTAGGACAAAACCTTCGCAACAGTATAATACTTAAAGATTAGAGTCATTGAGATCATGAAAAAGACTATATAATGGTCATGACAAAATTGAAACACATTCAATTGTATCTATCATAATCACTTCAGATTTACCATAATTCAAGCAGGCACAACAACAGAATGCATATTTTGAAAAATTGTTACATGGTCGGTTAAAATAAATATCCCTACCTACATTGTACTAGTATTTTTTTTTTAGCCAACCATTTAACAAAAGTAACCTGTTATAGCAGGCAAACTGTTCGAAAATTTTATCCTTTTTATCTAAATGAGCACTGCCACAGGCTTTCCACCTAGAGAGAAGACATTACAAAGGAAGAAAACTTCACTTCCTCAAAGATATTTTGAGTTTCTGGAAAAAGAACAACGTAAACACTCACCATCTATCAATTTCCATATTATAATTTTGTGTTTATAGAGGTAAAAAAAAAAAGTGTACGTCCTCCTATTATATTTGGCATGAGCTCATATTGAGATCATAAGGTAAGCCATGTCAATACAACACCACATAAATTAAGGTACAAAACTCTTGACTTAAAACTGTTTTGTTAATATTGATAGTGACACAGAGTAGCAATGAGAGAAGCAACTCAGCTTTTGATGTAGTGCTTGAAGGCATTTGTAGACAATCTGAAATGCATATTTCAGTAAAGATTTACAGGATGAGCTAATTCACATTAGCTGTTACTATTTAGACACAGTGCTGTTAAAAATTACATGATCTAGCAAATCTTACAAGGCTGCTTCCTGAAACGTGTCATGCACATCACAACCATTATATGTAAACTGAATTTGCATGGTAAAAACAATATAGATAGAAGACAATCAACTTTGCTCAACAGTTGTTGCAAAATGTGGAACACATCAGATCTAAAAATAATATAACATATTGTAATAAAAGATCACAGCCATTCAAATTATGGAGAAACTTCAAAAGTTTGCAATACGATTCACAGACAAGAACTTGACGACAGCATACAAATCAATACAATAGGCCTACTGTATCCATTTTTTTTCTGCACATGACTTTAATTTGTAAATTTTGAGATTTCAAAAGAAATTTGAGGATAAAATAATTTGCAAAATGTTAAAAGTGGCACTATTGCACTGAATGAAATGATACTGGGAGACTCAAATTAAGACTTTCAAAAGCTCACGAAAAACTAAATGGGGAAAACGCGAAAATAAAAGATGTGCAGAAAAAAAGCAAACTCTGTGTACAGTAGGCCTACAGTTATTAAATTTACAAAAGAAACACAGGTTTGGGTAATGCTTCAGTCATAAATCACCCTTCACAATGCATTTGTAGATTCTCACACGTAGTTTGACACCATAGACAATGACTTAGCAAAATGAATGAAATAAAAAATGTAATCTTTAGAAAAATAATATATCAGGAATTGCATAATATAATAATATGCCCTGAACAATACAACCAAAAACAGGTTTTACTAACACCACAATACCACCACCTCTCCCCAAGCTATTGATAGGTACAATGTAACTCTTTTTCCAAGTGTGTGTGGTATGCCTGTCTTTATTTTCTTTTACAGCATCAGTAACAGAGAATGAGGACACACGTTCAGTGATCACGATGCAACTGAGCACAAAGATATAATCGTGGAGGCTATGTGCTTGTTCATGGTTAGGGACTTGCATAAAATTCTAAATTAAATGTTACAGTAAGTCTTGAGAATGGGAAACAGTTACATTTTAAGAAATGAGTTTCATCAGTTAAGACTATGTCTACAAACATAATCATGTGTGAAATATTCAAGAACACATTTCTGCAGTTTAATCAATATTTGGACTACAAAAACACCGAAATTGTGTTTCCTAAATAATATCAGAAAAAGAGTGCAAATAGGAGACAAGAGATTCACAAAGAATGAGCTCAAAATGATGGACAGAATATAATAATATGCCCTGAACAGGCCAAAGTTTGAAAAGTGTAGATCTACCCCTTTGAAGTGAGCAAAGCTGACAATAGAAGCATCTGGTGCCATGGTAGGGCACTCGGCTGACAGGCAAATCAAGGAAAGTGTAAAAAAAAAAGGGCAATGATGTATTGGCCATCAGAACTCAAACGTTTAAAATGTTCTGAAATTTAGGGAAAAATGTGCTTGAAACTGAGTAAATGGTGGAGGTGACCACCAATAAAATAGAATAATAATAAAAATAATATTAATTTAATTTATATAGCACATAGCCATGCACTTTACAACTATTATTACCACAGAAGACCCAAGAAAAAATGTTCTCAGCTCCACGGGTAGCGAACAGTCCAAGCGGCTTTCGCCGTCTATGGTTGAGTTTGGGTACCTTTTCCCACTTGTGTGAAGTGAGGAAAATTTGTGTAAAGCACCTTTGCCTAGAACATAACATCAGGCCCTGAGGGGTTCAAACTCACAATCTTTTGGTGGCAAACCCAATAATCTAACCTGATGCAACAAAACAATATAACTAATCAGATTATGCAAACTCCTTCCCTGCTTTGCCTGAGATTGTCCTGGGCCTGATTTCACCCATTAACTGCACATAAATGAGACTATTTCCTGCCTTATACGAGAGTGTTTGTGCTACAATTGAAGGATAAGTATTACCAAGACAATTTTAATTTCATGAGTGACAAAAGAAATTTTAAGGAGCTTAACCTCTGTTACTATAAAAGAAAATGAAAAGTTTACACTAGAGGCAATGGTATAAATTAACCCCCCCCCCCCCTTTTGACAATTCCTTATTTTATAAGCAGCAGTTAAGGCATTAAAAATCCTGTCCTTTTAGACCAGAAAAATATAAATCCACATGAGATTCCTAAGGCAATAAAAGAAATGATAACAGCAATTTTATATTAATGTTAAAACGTGATGATGGTATTTTTATACATTAGATCCTGCAGAGGACATAAACTGGTGGAATCTCTCGTGTTCCAGATCTGTCATTATCTTGTTCAAGGCGTATATCTGGGGAGAAAAAGAACAGATTTACTGAGTGCGTTGAACATGTCTTTTTAGAATGTCAAATTCGTCTCCTTTTTTCTTCTTTGATCCTTAACTGGATCTCCTGGATAGTTGACACAAGGTTATTCGCCCTGCCCCTAGACCCAAACTAATCGCAGTTGGGAGATGCAAATCCTCTGAGTATAAAATACTTTTCAAAAGTCAGGTATTTCAGCCATTCCTCTCCTTTCAAAACAAAATTTTAAAATTAAAATGGTGTTGTCAAGCTACTTTGCTGCAGAGAATAGTTGGAGGGCTCAAATCTGTGTGGATGTGCTTCTCTTTAACTCAAACTTAAAACTTTCATTATAATCAACAAGGGGAGTGACTGGAGAGTAGAACTAGAAGGTCCTATTTTCTTCCCCTAATTTGTTTCCATCTATCTTCTATTTTTAGATCTGTCTTGCTTTTTCCTGCCCTAAACACTAAATGGTTCATGTTCATGTGTGCTTCTCTTTACTCAGACTCATGGAAAACTCCGGCAGTCATTTGACTGTATTTCAGATACCTTCCATGCCATGCTCAACAGACAGGTCAGAAGGCACATCATGATAGAAAGCAATAACTTAAAATTCCCCAATTTGAAAGAAAGTGATCAAGTAACTTTGAAGCCGCTGTGAAAATAAATTTTTCATGGTATTGCACTAGAATACAGCCAAATCTTGTTATACTGTGTTTCCCTACTCCCCCCAATTATACTTCCAGTCCCGAAAACTGCCAGATTTTGCCAGTGTATGAAAAGGAACGCCTATTTCAACATAGTATTTTCGCCTTTACACCGCATCCACAAACTGTCTGAGTTGCACAATCCCTGTAAAACTTCTGTCAATTTGTCCCGTTATACCACCAGCTCCAGAGTTTATACTACTACTACTACTACTACTACAACACACGGTGCACACCACTCACTCAGTGGCTGCTTGATAATCTCTTTCCCACAGGCATCTCTGCAAGTTCGGCCTATTTCTAGCATTATTCTGTCACCAATTTGCTCCTGATTTACGCTGATTATGAAAATGCTATTATTCTTAGGCTTTGACCAATATTGCTTTTAAAAACTGGAACGAAATTTTAAAGTCGTCTGGAGAAACTTCAAATGAACCGTGCCACCCCGGCCTGTCGGCAAAATATCAGTAAATATGCGCTCGTTGATAGAAGGCTGGCGGGAACCCATGCAACTTTTATACTGTGAGGATTCACAATACTGTGTGAAAGGTCTGAGACGGTCTATGGGTTGAAATAAAAATGAATGTTTACAAGGTCTTTGCCACATAATATAGTCTAGTTTCTGATCAGGCAAAAATTTTTAATTTTAATTTACGTTAAGTTCAGCTGAAGCTATACATATATATTGCAATTGGTTGCTACTCGTTTTTCCCTGTGCATAGCAATCACCAGAGCTGGTTGTAACGGAGTATAAGTACTCGGAGTACTTGTACTTACGTTACAATTTTCGGTACTTTTACAGTACTCCGGTACATTGTTGAAACCAGTACTTTTACTGTACTCCGATACTTTTTATAAAAGTACTTTTGAGTACTTTTAAAGTACATTTTGGGTGCTTTTGAAGCTTAATGAAATGGTAAGTGCCGGCATTTCTGATAATAATTTACGGAACCAACACCCGGGCGGGCACAGCCGATCAACCAAGAGTTAAAAGTTGAGATCAGAGAACGGCCTGTCGCGTCAAAGATCAGCCACTATCGTGAATGTGATCACAAGCGTTGTAAAACTCAATGAAACCGTACAGTGTTTGCTCCAGACGAGATCACACCGAGATGTGAACTGACCGATGCGTTTCTTTTCCCCAAACATCGCACTCGCATCTGAGCTCACCGCCTAAACTTACATCACTCACTGGGTGGGTAGGGCCTACACGTTCGCTCCAGGCGAGATCACACCAAACTGTGAACTCTTCCCTGATCATTGAAAGCAGTTTTTCTCTATTCCCGAATTTGCGAGACAGCCTGAATTTTAATTGGTGTGACCACAACGTAACGATGCGTAACGACAAAGTAAAGGCGATTTTTTGGGGGGAGGGGGGGCCTCAATCAGAGATGGAAAGCTAAAATTGTCGGACAGGTGAAGGGGAGGGACAACTGAATAAACGTAGATAAAGATCTCAAGACTCACGAGAGACTAATGAGTGTGTATATTATATTATTTATGGCATGCCTCATGCCACTGTGGTTGGTCATCAAGGTTGACCACTTTGCTCGCCATATGTCATAAATCCACCCAGGGGTCACGTCAGTTCATGGGTCACTTTAGATTCTTCCGTGGCTTCGTCGGCTGAGATCCCATATTTTTCTTGTTTCTGAGCACTGGGATCTTAGGCGGAGACTACTATAGTAGAGAATCTTTGGTTATACATGTACTACACTTACTAAACTCTAGGAAACTATTGTATTTTGGTTTGCCGTGGGCGCCGTGGACTACACAGTGTTACCAAAATCTGTCTTACTACTATAATCAATTGAAACTGAAACTGTGTTCTCAATGTAAGTAACAATTTTTGAGGCTACCTGAATTTCTTTTTAAAACTTTTTTTTGGGTGGTTTTTGCTTGAGGCTACATTGATTCCTTGAAGATTTGTTAATGAAGAAATCAATGCACTTTTCCATAAACTTCTATGCTGGCCATTTTCATCAATTTTACGTTTTCTTAAGAGCAACTTTGTACCTACATTTTCCAATTTGGATACTTTTTCTGTAGAACTTTCCGACCTTTTGAACTGAATTAGATTTGATCACATTGTCTTGCTCAAACATTTTCTATTCATAATATCACTTACCCACTAGTTGCGTCTGTTTGTTTGGGGTTTTCTTTTTTCAATTTCACGGACCATTTCCACCTTTGTTCTGTGCGTACATAGTATATTATTCAAATGTTTTGTATACTGTTTACATTTTTAGTAATAAATAGCCTAATTTGTCAAGTATACTGGATAGGTTATTCAATATGATGTTTTGCATAAGCGCTGAAGTGTTTTAGCATATTAGCAGAAAGTACTCAAAATGTACTCATAAGTACTTTTTTAAAAAGTACTTGTACTCAAGTACATTTTACAGGAAAGTACTTTTACTGTACTTAAGTACATTTTTTAGATTGTACTTAAATGTGTACGTAAGTACTTTTTAAAAAGTACTTTAACAGCTCTGGTTCCAAGTTCCAGCCGATAAAAAATCCAACCAGTGCTTTCAACCAAAGAGATTGCAGAACTTTTTATCTTTTTTCTAGGTATCGGTCGCAACAGACGCAATTACAAAAAATCAGGATACTGGCGATCGAAATCGGGAAAATCGGGATGCTTGAGATTTGGGGCAAAAAATCGGGATATCCTGCTAAAATCGAGATGAGTGGCAGGTCTGCCATAATAATATGGTAGCTTTTGATGGTTCATGAGTGAAGTATCAGGGGAAGAAAGACCTTATCATTGACATGCAAGGTGTCTCGGTCTCCGTAAATGCAATTGTCTCATAGTACAGTTGAGTTTGGTGTCAAATGGTGTGGGGCAGCGGAAATGGAAACTGAATCTGATCCTCCAGACCAGGCAGGGAGGAACGTAAAGCGAACAGAGAGCGCTGTTTACGAACATAGTGAGGTTGAGGTTATTGACGACAGTGATTTTAAGGCAGTTTTTGATGGCAATACATGGACGGTAGAGTGGAAATGGAAAAGGGATCCTCCCCACTTGGTGACTTCACGGATGTATGCAGCGAGACATTGCGAGAGCAACGATTGTCCACCTGAAAGGTGCTTACCTTCAAATTCGGGGGTCGCAAGATCTATGGAAATATCAACTAGTGAATTTCTAAGGTAAAACATATTGCCTGACAAGATTTGGATTCGGTCTTACATCGGCACCCCGCATCATGACGAAGATTTTGAAAACGGTATAGAGTAAGGAGGAGAAGATAGACTCTGCCACGCAGAGTAAGGAGGAGAAGATAGACTCTGCCACGCAGTCCTACATTGATGACATTCTGCGGGATAAGAGCAAGGTAAG